TTTTTTAATGGCTTGTATAAAAATATGGCAGAGGCAGACTTTTTATCCAGAGAGTGGATGGATACCAGAATGACAAAGGTCTGAAAAGGCTTGGGCTTACAAGGATTTAAAAAACCCCCATTATGTAGAAGGGCACAGGTTTGTCGGAGAAAAGACGTAGATGTGACTGGTGTGATCTTAAACAAGTCACTCCATCTCTAGGGCCTCGTTTTCTCATCTGCAGCGTATACCTGCCTTAGTCAACCCCATATATTTATGAGATGTTCGCAAAACAATATTGTAAACTGAAACTGTATCTATGTAAGCTACTGAATAATAATGCATGAGGTTCAAAGCAAGATAAGAAAGGGAAGGACACTGTACTTGATACCTTAAAATATACAACCCACTCATAATTGTTTTTAGCCAAACAAAATAATCCTCCAATTTGAAAGGGTGGAACTAATAATGTTAATAGAAAATTATGCCCAAAATAGCTGAGGGCGTGACAAAATGGCAAGAACTTCTTTTTCTTCCTCGTTGTTCCTCTTCCAGGCAGATGTGAGTTTGTGGGTTAGAAGGTTCTTTAATTTTACGAGGATGTCAATCCTACTTTGATTTGTATAAATATATGCCTTTGAGTGACAGAACACCTTCCCAAATTTTTGTGGAAAGTTCACTTCTTAGAAGATTCATTTAAGATTAGACATGCAGACACAGCCATTCGTCTTGACAGAACACTAGGAAAAGCTTTGCCGCTTCTAAGCAGCTTGTAAACTTGGACTACATGAATCTCGTAACTGATTTTTTATGTTTTTGCTTTCGCTGCCAAGATATTTAAAACCAAATATAGCTGAATTTTAGTTATGTAAAATTTTACAGCACGTTTGTATATTAATTTTCCTTTTTGCCATCCGTTTTACTTTGCCTAATTTTCTTCTATTTTTGTTAACTATCCTTTATTTGTATGTTATTATAAACTATCTGAAATTCTTTTGAGAATAAAAGCAAAACCAAACCTGTTGCCATCAAGTTGATTCCAACTCACAGCAACCCTACAGGACAGAGCAGAACTGCCCCATAGGGCTTCCAAGGAGCAGCTGGCGGATTCGAACTGCTGACCTTTTGCCACATTAGATTCAGGCCTCTAGACCTAACCAACTTATAGACAAGAATGTGGAAATACAAGTGTCCTGTATGTATAATGTGGAGAAACACCAGTTAAGAAACATGATGGAAGAATGGACATTGGGAGTATGTCTGGCACTTAATTCTAGTTTCCAGCAATAAGTAAACTGGAAGAGAACACACAGCAAAATTCTGCAGCATTCTAAAATTTAGTTTTTAAGCAAGGATTACTATATGTAGGCTCATTCACGTAAGGGCATATTGTCTGCCCCCACCCCTGTTTTTAGATGGGTGGGAGTTGGGGTTGAGGCTAAAACTTTAAACTGGGAACCAAAAGATGAGCTCTATTTCTAGGTCTTCCACTGGCTAGCTGAGCCAAGACTGGTTTAAGTCAAATATTTTTCTGAACTTCAGTTTCTTCATTTGTAATAAAGGGACTAGACCAAATAATTTCTAAGATTTCTGAAAACTTTAAAACTCTGAACTTCAAAACAATTTCAGTACTGCTGCCACTGTTCAAAAGTATTTTTGGAACTGCCTCCCATAGCTAGTTTTATGAAGTACTCGAGAAAACTAGTGTCAACTTTGTAGTCACATTTCATTTTGAACCAAATATGGCATTACCTAGAGCTTGACACCAAATATGGCATTACCTAGAGCTTGACTCAACTCCATCTGTTAATCTCAAATGATTTAGCTATTTCTAAAACTAATATCTTCCTCATCAGTAAATTTACCTCTATTAAGTACGTTTAAAATGCAGATTCTGTTCCAAAGAGCAATTCAGAAGTATTTTGAACAATGTAGCATTGTTGGCATTAGTATACAGCTTTCCAAAGTAATTTCTTTAAAGGGTCAGGGCACATTAATACAGCATACTGTTTTAAGATTGTTCATTCTAGAGATGTTAAAATGCCAAGAAAAAGGCTCTAGAACTGATGAAATACACTGTATGTAGGTTTTTTTTTTAAGCCAGTTGTGATACTTAATACCATATTTTTACGCAAATAACATGCACCCCTCTCCCACGAGGCACCCTCACAAGGGCCCCCATGCCAATCGTCTTCCACATGTTGCTGTAGGAAAAAGTAGGATGGCATGCCTATGAAAATACCTCGTGGTGGGGGGGGTGTGGTGCAGCTGGCAAGCAAATGCAGAAGGCACATGTTATTTGCATAAAAATGTAGATGTATCTTCAACTATCTTCCTTTTCCTGTTAGACATTCTAGAAAAGCATACGTTAGGACACAGATCCCTAAATGCTAAAGCTTTCCTTATTGAACCTACAAAGGCAGTGATTTCCAAACTTTGGAATCACCTAGAGATACGTGAAAAACACTGTTGCCTGGCTCCCAGCCCTGAACACTGTAATTTAGTTCAGATGGAGTGCGATTTGGGCAAGGGGATTTTTAAAAGCTTCCCAGGTGATTCTAATGTGCAGCAAAGTTTGGGAACACTCTTAAACTGAATCAATGTCCTACAACCCAAATAATTTGCAGACTAGGTAAAATTGATTAATATTTGTCCTTTTATGACTGATAGTATCACTTCACTAAAAAACTGAAATAAGAATTTTCTCAAAGTGAAACAACATAATTCAATGGGGAGGGAGGAACGATATCTTGGAAGAAGACAACACTGCTGTTAAATTTACAGCCTATTTACAGCTCTGGTTTTTTTTAACAGAGTATTTTGCATTAAAGAGTTTTATGTTTTCACTTTGAAAACTGTGATGTTTGTTAAGTCCCAAACCCACAGGAAGTGTTATTATTGTTAGTGTTCAAAAACATAGTTATGGGTACTCAAAAACTGAAGTAGATGCATGTCAACTAAGACTTCCTGCTGCACTTGAGTTCTTCAAAGGTCTGGAGGCCATTAAGCCAAGGTGGGGCAAATCAGTGCATTTGCAAAGGGTGCACAGGATCTTCTCATTCTGCCATTAGAACTGCAATCACTATGCACTGAGTTTCTAAAGAATATAGTAGGTTTTACATTCTTTGATGGTTACGAGGGTGGGAGGGAGGGTGAGGGTTATTTACTAACTAGATAGTAGATAAGAATTATCTTAGGTGAAGGGAAGGACAGCACTCACTACAGGGAAAATCAGCACAACTGGACTAAACTAAAGCTAAGAGGTTTCCTGAGTACAAACACTGAGGGACAGAGTAGCAGGGGTAGGGGTCTGGGGACCATGCTTTCAGGGGACATCTAGGTCAACTGGCATAACAAAGCTTCCTACTGCATCCTACTTTGGTGAGTGGCACCTGGGGTCTTAAAAGCTTCCAAGTGGCCATCTAAGATGCATCAGTTGGTCCCAACCACCTGGAGTAAAGGAGAATGAACACCATAGACACAAGGAAAGTATTAGCCCAAGAGACAGAAACAGCCACATAAACCAGAGACTGCATCAGCCTGAGACCAGAGGAACTAGATGGTGCCCGGCTACCACCAATGACCGCCCTGACAGGGAACACAACAGAGAGTCCCTGATGGAGCAGGAGAAAGGT